TCTCTGTATCTTCCACAAAGCCTTACGAAGTTTTTTGCAATCCATTTCTTTATTGAATGAGCAGGAATACTTCAATCTCTGATATTCAGACTGTATACATTCTAGCTATAAAGACCTTCAATTCCAGAGGTGGTAACCTGGCAATTTTCCGGGCCCTCAATTTACTAGACCAGGTGCTTTTTGGGAGCCACTGTTGACCCCAAAGATGAATTACTTTGAATGATTTTGGCTCTGTAATGCAGGAAGCTGTGAAAAAACGATTATTTTAGGAGATGTCTCAGCACTTTTCTAATAGCTTTTTACAGTTTATTGAAAAGGTCACTGCAGTTCTGAGATATTTTAAATACTAGCCAACCACAAGTTGTAAAGAGTATGAGGACACTAATTACAGGCACTCATGAATTTAAGAGGAAAAGACTGCAAAAAACTACCTGAGTGACTTTTTCTCAACTGTCCCAAGGATGGCATAGAGCTAGAACCATTCCAGATTCACAGAAGAGAAGATAATGGATTCTTTAGGGCTTTAGGGTTTCATTCTCTCATAAACCTATTTTAGTGGTTTCCATATTGGTAGCAACAGAGTGAGGGGGGGAAACTGTCATTTACTCATAAGGACAATTTGCATAAGTGATACATGCGCATTTACGATTGCCTGTACAGCTACAGAAGCTACCCACACTTTCGATTAGAAAGTTTAGGGTTTACAACGAAACTATACACTTTGTCTATAGAGTCACACAGGCTATGCCTACTTCAATAAACAAAGCAATTACAGATGACAGATTAGCACAAATGGTGAAATGAAATAAATACTCCTACCACCATTTTTAACTTCCTTATTTCACAGTTCCAAAGCTTCATCATTTTCATACAGCAATAAATTTCTTTCTGGAAGATTTTCAATTTTTATCTATTTAAAACCAAAAGATTTTAAAAGGATAACATCATCAAATCAACATGATGGTGCATTGTTGTTTTAAGGATGTTCTTCTGGTGCACTTCACAGGACTAAATTATATTGCTATCCTTCCTAAGAAACAGGTAAGGGAATATTCTACTTATAGACCCAGATCTGTATTAGGCAAAATGAAATTTACAAAAGCAGATAAGCAAAACTAAAAACCAAGGTATTTCTTGATCTTGATACTATATTAAGTATCACAAATATCTATCCATATTGCTGATCAAGTCAATTATAAATAATTATATCCTTATTTTTAAAATATGCTTTTAAAACCAAAAAGAAAAATCCAAGAGCATTTACAAATTTGGAAGCTTAGTCTTTTTTAAAATAAATAAATAAGTAAACCAAAATTACTGTTCAAACACTGTAATTCAAAACATTCAAGTTGAAAAAGTCTAGAATTATATAGTACATTTAGCTGTAACTGTGAGAGAGACTGTATAATTCAGCAAGTATTAATTGCCCTAATCTTTTTAGGCAAGTGAAAATTGAAAGAGTTGATTAATGCCCTCCCTGGATTTAGTTCAGTCTTTAAAATCTGACATCAGAAAAAAAGACTATCTAGAAAGTCTCTTTCATCTAGTAACTGGAATTTTGCTCAGTAATATACTATTCCATGATGAAGTATACTGACTCCTCACCACTTTTTCTAATTAGTTATCTATATTGAAAAGGTTCAACACGTTATTCATAAAACACAACTAAGGGGTGAGCTCTGATCTGCATTAGATATCAAAAATAATTTTCATTCTGAATGTTTAAGTATAATATTTCCTTATTGGTCATAAACACCAATTCACTCTAATTCTAGATACCACTAACATTTTATATTGCCCATAAAGGCCAGTTAAGACTTCCATATACTGTATTTTGTCATGTATAACGTGCACTTTTTTGCCCAAATTTGTGAGGGAAAAATAAGGATGCGTAAATGGGTAGTACTAATTCTGTATCTATATAAATGTTTTTAATTCTTCTATTTATGCTTATGAATTAAAAGTGGAGCCGGCCAAGTGGCGCGTTGGTTAAAAGCTGGCTTAGGATGCCAGCTCTGAGCAGTAGGGCCCCGGTTCGGATCCCACATGAGGGCCAGTGATACTGCCCTCTACAGCTAAGATGGTGAACAACAGCTCAACCTGGAGCTGGGCTCCCATGAGTTGCCGGCGAAGGCGTAGGCTGCAGCCCCTGCTGCAGTGGGCTGCCATAAGCTACCGTGTGTGGCTGGCAGCCAACGTGAGCAGCCGGCAGCCGGTGTGAGCTGCCAAGAGCCGCCATGAGCAGCCACCCAGAGGCCGGCGACCGATCTGCCTTACCCGGGAAGAGCGCAATGATAATACCAACATGGGCCAGTGAAGCGACATCCTCCACAACTAGACTGAAGAACAAAAAGGACAGCAACTTGTCTNCCCCCAATTCCCCAATTAAAAAAAAAATCTTTAAAAAAAAAATTAAAAATTAAAATAACAAATGCTGACAAGGATGTAGGGTAACCAGACCCCTCAAATATTGCTAATGGGAATGTAAAATGGTGCAGCCACTGCAGAAAACAGTCTGGTAGTTGCTCAAAAAGCTAAACATAAAGTTACCACACCACCCAGTAATTCTACCCCAGGAACATACCCAAGAGAACTGAGAACATATATCTGCACAAAATGAATATGTCTGCTATGAATGCTCATAGCAGAATTATTCATAACAGCCAAAAAGTGAAAACAACCCAAATGTTTATCAACTGATGACTAGATAAACAAAACATGGTGTATCCACACAATGAAATATTAGAAAGAGGAATGATGTGCTGATTGATACATAATACAACAGAGATGACCCTTGAACATATTATGCTAAAGTGAAAGCTAGACATAAAAGGTCACATACTGAATGATTCCATTTATATAAAATGTCCAGAACAGGCAAATCCAGACACAGAAAGTAGATTGGTGGTTGTCAGGAGGTAGGGGGAGTGATTTTAATGGGTCCGAGGTTTCCTTTTGAGGTGATGCAATGTTTTGGAATTGGACAATGGTGACGGTTGCACAACCCTGTAAATATACTAAAACCACCAAATTGCATACTTTAAAATGGTAATTTTATAGTATGTGAATTCTATTTCAATTAAAAATAATGAAGGAAGGAAGGAAGGAAGGAATGGAGGAATGGAGGAATGGAGGGAGGGAGGGAGGGAGGGAGGGAGGAACGAAGGGAATTCATTCCCAGAAGACCGATACTATAAGAATGTTAATGCAAGTCCTTCAGACAGAAGGAAAATGATATTAGATGAAAATCCAGATTGACATAAAGGAATAAAGAGCCCCATAAATGGTAAATATGTGGGTAGACAGAAAATACTTTTTCTTATTTTTTAAATGTCTTTAAAAGAGACTGACTTTTTCAAAATCAGAGACAAAAGCGGAGTTGTGGTGGGCTAGGGGGAAGGAAGACAGGGGAGTTATTGTTTAATGGGTCGAGTTTCAGTTTTACAAGATAAAAAGTTGTACATACATAGATGTATGGTGGTGATGGCTGCACAATATTATGAATATATTTAACAATACTGAAGTGTACACTTAAACGTGGCTAAAATGGTAAATTTTATGCTATGTGTATTTTATCACAATAAAAAAACTGGGAAAAATTTTTTTTAAAGAATATTTAATGTTTTTTGGGGTTTATAACGTATGTAGAAATAAAACATGTTAACAACAGCACAAAAGCAGAGATAGGGAAATGGAAATACAGTGTTCTAAGTCTTATTCTATGCAAGAAGTGATATACAGTAGCCCCCCCTTATCTGTGGTTTCACTTTCTGCAGTTTCAGTTACCCACAGTCAACTGTGGTCCGAAAATATTAAACAGAAAACTCCAGAAATCAACAATCCATACGCTTTACATTGCACACCGTTCTGAGTAGCATAGCAGGATGAAGTCTCGAGCCATCCTGCTCTGTCCTGCCTAGGGCGTGAATCGCCCTTTGGTCCAGTGTATCCACACTGTGTATGGTATCTACCCGTTAGTCACTTAGTAGTCCTCACGGTTATCAGATCAACTGTCAAAGCACCACAGTGCTTGTGTTCGAGTAACACAACACTCATTTTACTTAATAATGGCCCCAAAGCGCAAGAGTAGTGATGCTGGCAATTTGCATATGCCAAAGAGAAGCCATAACGTGCTTCCTTTAAGTGAAAAGGTGTGCATGTATAGGAAAAAACAGTATACAGGGTTCGGTACTATCCGCTGTTTCAGGAATCCACTGGGTGTCTTAGAATGTATCCCCCACAGATAAGGGGGGATTACTGTTAATATTAATTGAAGTTAGACTGTGATAAGTTATATATATAAAATAAACCCTAAACCAACCAACAATAAAGGGAGGGAGGGATAGTGGGAGGGGAGGAAGGCCATCTTCGTAAAAGTTCCATGTGTACGTGAAAAGAATATTATCTTGCTGTTGGGTGGGGTATTCTATAAATATCAATTCGGTTAAGTCGATTATTAGTGCATTTGAGTCTTCTATACCCTGATTTTCTGTATACTTGTTCTAGTAATTGAGAGAGTGGTATTCAAATCTCCAGATCTAACTGTAGATTTGTCTATTTCTCTTTGCATTTCTTTCAGTTTTTGCTTCATGTAATTTGAAGTTCTAGTATTAGGGCATAAATATTTTAAATTGTTATGTCCTCTGATGAACCTACCCCTTTAGCACAACTTGTCCCCGCCCCCCTTTATCAGTATAAAATACTGATATTGGGACTTATTCTTAAAGGCTGTTTGCAGGCAACACTGAGGACACTATTAACTTGATTTCTCTTTCCCATCTTATGAACCATGTATTTATAAAAGTCTTACCGTATCATCAAGACCATCTATATGCAAAACCACTGTTTTGGCACGTTTGTTTGTAGTTCCCAGAAAAAACTGAGCTTTCCTTCGACGTGAATTCATTTCATTGAAACTATCACTATCTGCCATATTGGAAGATTGAAGAATGTCATAGATTTCAGAGGCCAGCAGTTTTGTTTCCCCTGGAGTTGTAGTCCTCAAAAAAGAAACATAAATTAACAAATTAGTGTTGTCACTTCTACTGATTCTATAATTTTATTCCTCAAGTTTACAAAGCCTTGTTTCCTTCATTCTGATGCTTTGTTCAATTTAAAACAAATACCAGTGAATCCTAGAATAATCAATAATGTAGAAAATGCATCTAGTCTATAATAAAGCCTTCACATTTCATTTTAAACCCATGGTTCATTGAAATTCAAAACTCATCACTATAATGGTATAAAAGCACATTTAATTGAAATCATTAATTAAATAGGAAACCAACTATAAAAAGATCAGGCTATAACAAGTCCCTGGATTAAAACTAATATTCAACTCTCAATATGAAAGTACCCCGACCTTCAAGAAAATATAACATTAAAATCCAAAATAAGAAAAATTAGATCATTCTTATAGTCATTTTAACAGATTTTTTAGTACGTAAATTCAAACTGTTTCTTAATTTATATTTTTACACATTTTTACAAAGCATGTATGTATCATAAAACCACAGCACAAACAAAAGCTTTCATTCTTAAACTTTAAATCTTGCTATAGATCCTCACATAAACAGCTAGTGCGATGTTGTCCAACAGAAATTTCTGAAGAAATGTTCTGTATCTGCACTGTCCACTCACCTGTCTACTGAGCACTCAAAATGGGCCAAGTGTAACTAAAGAAATTAATTTTATTCACTTTTGATTAAATTTAAATAGTCACATGTGGCTATCATATTGGACAGCACAGATCTACTGATTCTTATTAGTTGAGTTGAATAAACAATAAGTACCCACATAACTGTAAGAAAATCATCCTCATTTCGCCTATAAATGGCCACAATTAAGTTCAAACCATTTAACATACATTCAATGCCTTTAAAATCTGCCTTCTACCAACTCAGCCCGACCAACGTCAGGTCATCGTGCCCTTTATAAATGCCCCTCCCTCAGCCAGAAGAGTGTCACCTAAGACTGTGAGCTTTCAAACTCATTTCTCCCCTGAAGGCTCAGCTCAACCACCATCTTCTTTGTGAAGCCTCCCACCCCATTCATACCTCTGGATTCAAAGTATGTACTATGCTTGTATGCATACTACTGATCTTAATTTTCTACTTCTTTCTCTTCAAGAATAGGGGTGTGTGTGGGGGAGGGGAGACTGGTTAGCTCAGTTGGTTAAAAGCGTGGTGCTGATACACCATGGTTGCTGGTTCGATCCCCACATGGGCCATTGTGAGCTGCGCCCCTCCCCCCGAAAAGCATCAACTATGCCATTATAACATGAAAGCAATGTGTAACCAATGATCATGACTGTTCCCCAATTAAAAAAAAAAAAAAGAAAAAAGAAAAAAGAATAGGGGTGTGTTCTCTCTGTATCTTCCACAAAGCCTTACGAAGTTTTTTGCAATCCATTTCTTTATTGAATGAGCAGGAATACTTCAATCTCTGAT